CATACACTTTAAGTACTTCTTCATATACCACAGCAAAAACTATAGTCTGAGAAAGTTCAAACATGATTAAAGGCAAGTGAATAGTCAGTTAAAAAAAAAAAGACAAAAGAAAGAAATACACAATTTACAAGCATAGATATTATAAACAGTAGTATTCAGATACAGACATTTTATAAATAAGGGTAAAATAACACTACATAGTGTTCACTGTATAAATTTAATTTAGATTAATCTTTGTTATAGCTGTTTTGTTGTTTGATTAACATTAGTGACATTCAGCAGCACGTGTTTATAGGCTGCTGTCCTTTTAAATCTGACTGTACGGATCCAGTATAATGATACACATCCGATTTCTTTCTCAGCTGTTTACATTCATTTAAAACATAACCGACTGCATTTACGAGAATGATCGTCGAGACGGGTACTATTGACATAATTCTGTGTGTATGTGTCTGTTCAAACATGAGGAGATGCGAAAGACGAATCAACTCGGTCTGAAACGCATCTCTCTGTGTGTGCGCACGCTTTGCACGTGTGCGGCAGAACTGAAGATACGCTGTGCGAGATGCGGCTTGTGTGCGCTTCAGGTGTGAGTCAGACAGCAAGACGAGACGGCAAAGAGTTGTTTTCTGCAACTTACTGCACTTAACTCTTTTTAACGTCAAGCAATTCTCTGCTATATGCGTCGAACTAAAACTTTGACCTTTTGCAACTTTTTGATTTAAGTAGCCTATTATTAAAATGATTCAGATATCGCACACCCTTGCGATATGCATATTGCGATATGTACATTTTCGATAATTTCGATATATCGTGCAGCCCTAGTTTGTTCAAGTGTAAACCAGATATCAGAGCATTCAAATTGTCTTCATGCCATTAACCAGGAGTCCTTGAGTCATTTTACAGTCTGCATTAACTACAACATTACTCAGTAAAAATGGACTGAAGAGAGATTCAGTTTCTCAATTTTTCTCAAGATTCAGGGTAATTCTTCACTTAAATGACTCACATTAGGGTATTAATTCACATTATTAATCCAAAGTCATTCACAGTTGTATAACTATTTCTCAAATCGTCTGTTATGCTGATCTGCTTTTTATTCAGATTAATTTTATTTATAATTTATAACTGAGTATATATTGAATAGTGTTCAATTGTGTGTAAATGTACTGGATACATTTACATTTATGATGTCTATTTATAAATGAAAGAATGCATTGAAAGTCACTGTCAAACTTGTATGATCTATAATGAAATATAATATTTTATGAATGCCACTACACTACCGTTCAAAAGTTTGGGTTCAGTAAGATTTTTTTTTTTTATATAATAAATTCATTTTATTTAGCAAGGATGAATTAAATTGATTAAAAGTGACAGCAATGACATTTATGAGGTTACAAACGATTTCCGTTTTTAAACAAATGCTGTTCTTTTGAAATCACTATTCATTAAAGAATACTGAAAAAAGTATGTTTCCACAAAACTGTTTGCTTTAAGTTCATCTTTAAATATGAAATATGAAAATAAGTATCTTAATTTCAATATCAGTACTTTTACCTGTTAAACAGTTTTTGATGATCCATCTATCATTTATTAATTTACACTATGTATCCTTGTTCTTTCAGGAGAAGCCCCTTTCCCGCTCACTGCAAAGAGGAGAAGATGCACAATTTGATCAGGTTAGTATATGTGTGTCTTATTTCATAATTTAATAATTATAAATGCGTGTAGTATATCTCTTTCCCATCCTGCTTTTCGGTCCTCTTCTCTCTTTCTCTCACTCTCCATCACTCATTTCTGAGTAGCGCAGAACTTTTCACAGCAGAGCTGCAGCAAAATGCTTTGTTTAGCAAAACGCGAAGCAAATGAGACATCATCCTGCAATGGATCCAGTCAGTGCCATTAGGCTTGTGTGTGAGAAAGAATGAGCCAGTGAGAATGTGCTCTGTATGCAGAAAATCACAGCAATTTGTGTCTGTGTGTCTCTATGCTTTTTAGTGAACAGAGTTTTGGTGTGTGTGTGTGTGTGTGTGCGCACTGGACATTGCCAGGAGCAGAATCGCTGTGTCATCCGCAGCAGTAGATCAGCACATGCTGCTGCGAGTGTATGTGTGTGTGTGTGTGTGTGTGTGTGAATATATCAGTTCAGGGTGTTGGAGTGTGTCTGACAAGTGCCATGAGGGCCGGAAGAGCAGTTACATAACTCTCCTTAACCACATACATCATCCTATCCCACACTCACCTGATGCAGGCCTCATATACAGTAGGGTCTAAAAGTCTGGGAATCAGTTTTGAAATAAACTAAACTTTTTTTCCCCAAAGTTCTGGGACTTTGAAGCTTTTTTTAAACAAAGAAACATTATGACTTAAATTGAATAATGTATTTCAGATTTTAAATCACTAATGTTAATTTGTGAGCATGTGACTCTTTGTACAGAGGGTCAGATGTTCTTTTTTCCATTGAAGCTCACTCTGCTCTTTGGGATAGACTCAGATCATGCTGGAGAATGTGATGATCAGGTTTGATCAGGTTTGATTTGCTTGGGATGTTCCTCATTAGTAAGTTCTTTCACATCTGCTAAACAGTGTTGTTTTAGTATTTATATACTATTATAGTATTCAGTTTTCCTTTTTAAATTTTAGTAATTTTATGTAAGCTTATAATTTTTTTATTAGGTTTTTTTTATTTCTATTTAGCTTTATTTAATTTTTGTTTTAGCTGTAGTAATTATAGTCCAACTTATTTTCAGTTAGTTGCCAAGACAACATTAAGATTAAGTTGTTGGGGGAAGTCGTGGCCTAATGATTAGAGAGTCGGACTCCTAACCCAAGGTTGCGGGTTCGAGTCTCGTACCGGCAGGGATTGTAGGTGGGGGGAGTGAATGTACAGCGCTCTCTTCCACCTTCAATACCACGACTGAGGTGCCCTTGAGCAAGGCACCGAACCCCCAACTGCTCCCCGGGCGCCGCAGCAAAAAATGGCTGCCCACTGCTCCGGGTGTGTGTTCACGGTGTGTGTATTCACTGCTGTGTGTGTGCACTTTGGATGGGATAAATGCAGAGCACTAAATCTGAGTATGGGTCACCATACTTGGCCACATGTCACGTCAATTATGTTTGAGTATAAGAATTTCATATAATGTTTATAGTTTATTTAGCTTTATTTCAATTAATGGAAACCCATTTTTTATAGTTTTAGTTAATGATAACAACACTGCTGCTAAATTAATAAATGTAAATGTTTGTTACAGATGTGAGGAATTTATGCAGCTCGAGTGCAAAATAAAGAAAGAAATTTAAAGCAAACTAAATATTACAACATTATGAAATTCATCATGGAATTTTTTCATTCAACTGTTTCACTCAAATTGTTATGATATAAGATGGAATGAAAAATTTATTCAATTAGAAAATGTAAAATAGAAGAATTTGCATTAATGGTCTCCAGACTTTTGGATCCCAGTGTACTTCTGAACATCTCACTTTATTAACAAGCACACTCTCACTCTGCGCATTAGTCTTTTATTTTTATTTATTTATTTATTTTTTCACAATGCTGGCACGCACACACTGATTTGGCTTTTGGATTTGCCTGTGCCGAATCTCAGGAACTGCATGTTCAGTCGTGACGTGTTGTGACCGCAAAGAGATCAGCTCTGCTGAATCACACCACAGTGAACTATACTATCCCTCACTCACTCATCAGCATACATACACATCTACTCTACTGCCATAGCTCAGTGTGTGTGTGTGTGTGAGAGAGAGAGATGATTGGTGCTGGGTTACTGCAGTGAAAGGTTGAGTAACCACTGGAAGTATCATCCTACACCCATCCTGCCCTCACAACAGGACAGATCAATACCTGACTGCACTCAAAATTGCTGCCATCTCTCTCGCGTCCCTTACCTTGTCTTTCCATTTTCATCCATTTGTATATTGTTCTCTCTTTAGATCTTTCTCTTCAATCAACTTGACAATGTTTTTTACTCATTAGGTTTTACAGACAAAATAAAATGGCTTTCAAAATTAGAGTCTGTGCTGCAAATAACCGATATTTCAGAGGTGGAGAACGTTTGTACATTTTAATGGAAGTTTTTTTTTTCCTCTTTGAAATAACATGCGCTGATGAATCATGCACAGCAACCCCACCGCCATTTAGTATTTCAGTTTATTTGTTTTATTTATTATCATTCTGTATCCAAGTTAAACAGATTCAGATCTAAATAACATTTAGAACGTTTGTACATTTTAATGGAAGTTTTTTTTTTCCTCTTTGAAATAACATGCGCTGATGAATCATGCACAGCAACCCCACCGCCATTTAGTATTTCAGTTTATTTGTTTTTATTTATTATCATTCTGTATCCAAGTTAAACAGATTCAGATCTAAATAACATTTCAATTAAATATGACAAGATTTAAAAAAATTAACATATTGCATGGATGATTCATTCGTTAAAAGATCAATAACATGCATTTTATGCCTTTAATAGATAAATTAATTAATATTTGTGACCCTGGACCACAAAGCCAGTCATAAGGGTTAATTTTTTTAAATTGAGGTTTATACATCACATGAAAGCTGAATAAATAAGCTTTCCATTGATGTATGGTTTGACAATATTTGGCCGAGATAAAACTATTTGAAAATCTGGAATCTGAGTGTGCAAAAAAATCTAAATGCTAAGAAAATCGCCTTTAAAGTTGTCCAAATGAAGTCCTTAGCAATGCATATTACTAATCAAAAATTAAGTTTTGATATATTTACGGTAGGAAATATCTTCATGGAACATGATCTTTACTTAATATCCTAATGATTTTTGGCATAAAAGAAAAATCGATAATTTTGACCCATACAATGTTTTTTTGGCTATTGCTAAAAATATACCCCAGCGACTTAAGACTGATTTTGTGGTTCAGGGTCACATTTAGTAAATATTTTATTTCATGTTTTGTTTAACCCACATGAAGAGTGTGTCATTGAGCTGTATTATTGTGTTTGTGTGTTACAGTTAATAAGCTCTATGAGCTCCATAGCAGAACACTGTTTGCCTTCACTGTTGCGGACGTTGTTTGACTGGTACAGAAGACAGAGCGGGACAGAAGACGAGTCGTACGAGTACAGACCTCGCTCCAGCACCAAGTCCAAAGGGTAGGCAAATATACATCTTGCACATAGTACACATCATTGTATGTTTCTCTTTTTCTCTGCTGTCTCTGCTTTTCTTTAGCAAGAGCTTCAACAGATGCATATGATGTGCCTCTTTCTTGTGACGTTTTATTTGGAGTTAATAAAACGTGCTTTTATTCTAACTTGTGAATCCTGTACTTTTGATCTCTTTCTTTAGAGATGAACAGCACCGAGATAAAGACTTCCTACTGGAGCGAAGGGACTTAGCCATAGACTTCATTTTTTGTTTAGTTTCAGTGGAAGTTTTGAAACAGGTGAGGTTTGTGTGTTTCATTGCTTAGGTGTGGTGTCTCAGAAGTCAGAGATAGGTGTGTTGTGGCATTAACATGCATAGACTTGCTAACAGTATATCAAGGATCCTGAAGTAAAACAGTGACCCTTACATCAGGGTTGATGTTGATGAAATGTTTTTCGTAGATTCCCCTTCATCCCGTGCCAGACGCCTTAGTACAAGATGTCCTTAACCTGGCATTCAAGCACTTTAAACACAAAGAGGGGTGAGTCTGCATACGCAAACACACACTTTTCTATGCAAATTCTACAGATGTACCCTGGACAAATGCAAACCTAATGTGAGACACACAAGTGTGTGATTTCTGAAACTACCTAGAATTAAATTGCATCATGTACATTACATAATTTTCTATGTATATACACTGTTGTTCAAAAGTTTGGGGTAGGTCACCAAGGCTGCATTTATTTAATCAAAAATACAGTAAAACTATTTTGAAATATTATTACAATTTGAAATAACTGTTTTCTGTTTTAATATTTTGAAATATAATGTATTCCTGTGTTCATAAAGCTACATTTTCAGCAGCCATTACTCCAGGCTTCAGTGGCACATGATCCTTCAGAAATCACTCTAATATGATGATTTGCTACTCGAGAAACATTTATAATTATCACAAAACTGTTGTGCCATTTTTGTGGAAACTAGGTTACTTTTTTCAGAATTCTTTAATGACTAGAAAGTTCAATGGAACAGCATTTATTTTATGCATTCGATTTTATGCATTCAATTCAATTCATTCTTGCTGAATAAAGTAAAATGTTACTGACCCCAAACTTAACAGCTTAAATGTAATTTTGTAATTAATGGAATACAAACCAATATTTTCTTGATTCTGTGTAGAATGGCTTGTCTTACTGATTGTCATGGTGTGTTTGACAGGTACTCAGGCCCCAACACTGGTAATGTGCACATCATCGCTGACCTCTACGCTGAGGTCATCGGCGTTCTCGCCCAATCCAAGTGAGTTCAAATCCATCCCAAAACCACAAGGAGCTTACAGTGTACCTTTTGTGGTCTGTTGCACATTAAAAAAATTCAGTTAGAAATTTAACAAAGAAAGGATGAAGGATGAAGTTGATGCTAGCACATCATTCAGATCTCCCATCAGAGTTAACAAAGCCCCCAAACCCCTCTCATTCTGTCAAACTAACTTGCCTAGAGCTAAATACAGATGATTTGTACAGTCTTCGGACGCTTTTAATGTTACTGTAATTCTCTGCTCTCCACACGCCAAGACTCTCTCACAGCTACATGAAACTGTCCAAGCTATAATGTAATTTAGCCCTGTGCTGTAATAGTCAGGGCCTGAAATTGATTTACCACAGTGCTCAACCTCCCCTCCAGTTCATGATTTCCTGTGCAGAGCCACTTTGTCCCGAGGACAGTGTTTGAAAAGGCCGTTTTACATAATATGATAAAGGCATGATGCGCTGACTGTGGTCCTTGCTTGTTTGGATCAGATGGTTTCCATTGCTGTAACAAGCTTTTGCTTTTGGGTTTTGTTTTTACTTAAGGGAAACTCTTGAACTTTTTACAAAAAAAATTTTAAATATGGCCCACAGACAGTAACAAGCCAGTTTTTTCACCCTGTTATGTGATGTTAAGTTTTGGTTGAAGGCTCCTACACACATTTGTTGAGCACTTGATAGAAACTTGACACTGAATTTTCATCAGCTATTGTGCGAATAGACTAGACACCGAATTCCAAAATTTTAATTAATTTCTCTTTAATTATGTGTTTGTGTGCAGGTTCCAGGCAGTGCGTAAGAAGTTCATCACAGAGCTGAAGGAACTGAGGCTGAAGGAGCAAAGTCCTCATGTGGTGCAGAGCATCATCAGCCTCATCATGGGCATGAAGTTCTTCAGAGTCAAAATGTACCCCGTTGAGGACTTTGAGGCTTCTTTCCAGTTCATGCAGGTCGAGACGCATGCAAACACAGACATGTACTGTACATGTAAAGGTTGTCTTCAAAGGTTTCTGTCATCATTCACACACCTGCATGCTGTTCCAAACCTGTAAGACTCACTCATCTTCATAGATTTTACATTACATTTTTTGACACGTTAAAAAGTTCATGAAGACATTGTAAAAGATATCCATATGAATTGGGCGGTTTAATCCACGTCTTCTGATGAGACATGCTAAATTTATGATGAACAGATTTAATTCAGGCTTTTATTTGCATATAAATACTGATCAACGCACATACATACAGCATCTCAAATATGGTCAACAATAGCTCAAGACTTTCAATGAAGGGTCAGAAATTTCCCATATATTTTATAAAAAATATTTTCATTTGTGTTTTGAAGATGAATGAAAGTCATATGGGTTCATAACAACATGAGGGTGAGTAATTGATGACCATTTCAATTTTGGGTGAACTAACCCTTTCAGTTTGGACACTAAAGATGTTTTAGTGTTACATGGTACATCTCATGAACGGAGTATAAATATATTTATTTTCTAAAATCTATTACATTTGTTAAATCGACTGTTATCTAGCATAAAAGAGGGCTTGACCTTCTCAACAATTAAACAATTAATATCCCACAACAGCGACGTAAATTTCACATAATCTCTTGAATAGATATTTAGTTATTTGTAGAAAGAAAAATATATTTTTTATATATATACTAACTTTTTGATGACCAACTTTGAGGCTTCTTTCCAGTTCATGCAGGTCGAGACGCATGCAAACACAGACATGTACTGTACATGTAAAGGTTGTCTTCAAAGGTTTCTGTCATCATTCACACACCTGCATGCTGTTCCAAACCTGTAAGACTCACTCATCTTCATAGATTTTACATTACATTTTTTGACACGTTAAAAAGTTCATGAAGACATTGTAAAAGATATCCATATGAATTGGGCGGTTTAATCCACGTCTTCTGATGAGACATGCTAAATTTATGATGAACAGATTTAATTCAGGCTTTTATTTGCATATAAATACTGATCAACGCACATACATACAGCATCTCAAATATGGTCAACAATAGCTCAAGACTTTCAATGAAGGGTCAGAAATTTCCCATATATTTTATAAAAAATATTTTCATTTGTGTTTTGAAGATGAATGAAAGTCATATGGGTTCATAACAACATGAGGGTGAGTAATTGATGACCATTTCAATTTTGGGTGAACTAACCCTTTCAGTTTGGACACTAAAGATGTTTTAGTGTTACATGGTACATCTCATGAACGGAGTATAAATATATTTATTTTCTAAAATCTATTACATTTGTTAAATCGACTGTTATCTAGCATAAAAGAGGGCTTGACCTTCTCAACAATTAAACAATTAATATCCCACAACAGCGACGTAAATTTCACATAATCTCTTGAATAGATATTTAGTTATTTGTAGAAAGAAAAATATATTTTTTATATATATACTAACTTTTTGATGACCAAAAACATAACATTTCCCAGTGTCCCAAAGACGTGTCCCAATTTTTGCTAACAGATTTGTACAAATTGCACAAATTGTGAATTGCATGCAAAATAAACAAAAAACTGAATGATTTGTTTAAAATTGTGTTTGCTTATTCTGAGTTAAGCAAAGTTATCCACCTTTTTTAAATTACAAATTTAAATTATAATAAAGAAATACTGTAAATATTGTTTTCAACATTTCAGGCCCTATTTTGTTCCGTTTGGGTGGAAAGTGCCACATTATCACTGTCAATACATTTTGAGTCTCGTCTACTCTATTGTCGTTCAGACAGTACTTCTTTTGTTTTATTTGCGAGCTCTCTGTAGTCATGCCTCATAAAATCTCTTGAGTAACAGTCTCAATGTGTTAGCCCTACCTTTGCCAACAGGACTGTGTGGAGCAATTCCTTTACATTAGCCAGTTATAGGCAGTGACGTCCTGCACTCAATATGTGCTTCACTTAACAAGCACTGTAATCCAGAGATTTTTACTGAGCCAATAGCTGCAAAGCGATGCTGTATTTTATTGTAGACCTCATATTTCTCCAACTACCATGTGGGAGTGTGTACTCCTTACAAAAGGACTTAATAGTGGTGCATCCTTTTCAGTTACTAGAACTACATTTATGAGTTTCTCTCAAATGTTTATTGTGCAGATTTGCATTAATTAAATGTTTTGTTTTGTGCGTCTGTTGGTGAAGCAGGAATGTGCTCAGTATTTCCTGGAGGTGAAGGACAAAGATATCAAACATGCACTGGCTGGCCTGTTTGTTGAGATCCTCATCCCTGTAGCTGCTGTAAGTACCGCAGAGCTCTCCATTTGTTTAAAGGGGTCCTATTATGCTCTTTTACAAAGTCTTGTTTTTGTTTTTGGGGTGTACTAGAACAGGCTCTCATACTAGGTTGTTCGAAAAACACATTATTTTTCACATATTTTACGTTATTATAACACCTCTCTCCCCAGCCTGGCATGAACGGCTCAAATAGTTCCTGTATCAAATGAAGGCCCGCCTTCTGAAATACGAAATGTGCTGTGATTGGTTAGCTGGGCCAGTGTGTGTTGTGATTTGCAGCACTCGGTGCCTGGTCGGGAAATGTCATGCCTTTACCATAGCTGCCTGCGAGCTTCAGTGTAAATATTGTGTCAAAATCAAATCAATTTGAGCACAATTTAAACCCGGATGATTGTAACCACTCTAAGTTTGTCTACCTTGGGAAAGCTAGCGTGTCTCTGACATAGTGATAACACTCGTTGCCTTCTCTAGTGCTGCTCAACCAGGTCTCGTCCTATTCGTCGATATTTGTGATATCACAAATCCCGGAAAATATCCATTTTAGTCCAAATGAGTCGTTCGTTGTAGTTTTTGAAAAGTGATTTCTGTTAAATAAAATATCTCCTTTTGAATTGGACTTTGAGCTTTGTAACTTTGCAGATCTTTTTTATGCTCAAACAGCAACATTACAGATTAACTAAAAGCATAATAGGACCCCTTTAAATTATATAACATCATTCCTATGAGCCAAATTTCACATGCATACTGCAGAAATGTAATGCATTCTGACTAAATTGCCACATTGCTCCATCAACTCTGATTTAAATGAGTGTAATTTCACAATATGGCAACACAGAACATTACACAACTTTCCATTAATTCAAATCAGAATATGTGCGATCTGTAAACACTCTCCAGTCCCTTTGTTTTTCCATTTGCACCATAACTGATTTTTAATGTCACAGTATAATGTCACTGATTTTAAAGCATAATTAGTACTTCGAGAAGTTCATGCTGTGTTTAAACCCTAAAATTGAGCTGGTTGTGTGTCTGATGGAGTTGAATCAGAGCGACGATAGAGCAAGAGTTGTGACTTTCAAAAAAACTGCACCTTGTCTTTAACCAATCACACACCGATTCAAATACAGATTGGCTCTTTGAAACAGTGTGTTTGTATTCAGATCATTTGACAGAGGCTCAGTGACTCTTGTGCAGAGTTCATGATGGTACATGTCTTGTCAAGTGGTTTGAGGTGGAGGTTGTGGAATGAGTTGCTACAGAAACACAATTGAAATGTATTTCATTTGGCATTGACAAGATGAATAGCTTGAGTGATTTGTGTGCTGTTGTGCTCCGAGCGGGTGTAGCTCAGCCTCAGCATGAGGATTCATATGTTTGTGCTTGTGTGCTTTTGGAAGGCGGTGAAGAATGAAGTGAATGTGCCCTGCCTGAAGAACTTCGTAGAGATGCTCTACCAGACAACCTTTGACCTCAGCTCAAGAAAGAAGCACTCACTGGTACAGTCCTTTTCTGCTTTGATACATACTTTCCCACAATCTCTGTAGCCTAGATCATTCTGCCACCCAGAAGGCTGACATTTTTTTGTCGAACACAAAAAGTTTAGCTGATTCTATCTGTGGCCCTTTTCCGTGCAGTTGCAAAGCATTGAAGCTTTAAAAAGTACCATAAAACTATCATGAAAGTGGGCCATAAGAGTTTTGCGTTTGTATTTCAAATCTTTTATTGTCTGCTCTGTCAGTAGTATTGAGTGAGAAATAGTTGTTATTCACTGTAAATCTGTCCTAGCTCTCCATGTCAGGTGCATGAGAGAAGTTGTGATGTCCAATTTGTGAATCAGCATGTTAATTTTTTCTTGTTTGATATATTTTCAGAGTTTTCTGTGTCTGTCTCTCTCCCCAGGCATTGTATCCCTTGGTCACATGTCTGCTGTGTGTTAGTCAAAAGCAGTTCTTCCTCAATAACTGGCACATCTTCCTTCAGAACTGCCTTTCCCACTTAAAGGTAACATTTTCTAACAGTGGAATGAATACAGAGTGTTTAATTCAGATTGGTGATATTCTTTGGGGGGGGGAAACCCCGCTAGAGCTGACAGTTTCACAGAGATTGCACCATAGAAAATGCAGCTTACAAGTAGCTGTAAAAAGTAGCTACAAATCCTACATTTCTATCAAATGTGGTTTGGGCACTGCAAAAACCAAACAAAATAAAATGTGCTGTTGATACATATAGATTCTGAAGCCTGGAGGCAGGTTTGGTGATTCAATATAAAAATTCATTCTGTTTGTGGGTTGGTTCACTTACATAATTTTGGAGAAAGGTGTGGTGTGTTAGACAACTTCTGAAAAATGCTTCTTGCTTATGTTGTTCAGTTAATTATACCCATGTCATCCAGTCTTTCTCAATCATATCTCAAAACCGTGTGTGTTTGTGCTTGTCCACGTTCTTTTTCATTGTCGCTGGTTCAGCTACAAGGATGTGATCATTTTTTAGTTTCCTAACTTCCCTTCCACAATGATTGAGTTTTCCTCCAATCTATGCAACTTTATCATATGAATCTTCAGGATTGATCCGAGATGCTTTGATTTGGTGGTGGTGATTTTATGAATGAGTAATCAAACTCTATGTAACTCCCTGCAGTACCGATTAAATCCTTTACTCACTTTTCGTTAACCTAGATCAGGACTGGATCAGAATTGGACTGTAGTGTGGATCTTACTCCAAATCCACTTTAGGCTGCTTCTTACATTTCTCAAAAAGGCATGTGAACGATTCAGGATCAGAAGTGAAGTTTTCCTCAGTGGTCTGTTAGCCAATTGAGCCCAGGTTTATGGGATTTGTAGTCTCAGTGGTGGATAATTTCTCTCCTAATTGATCCATGGATCCCCTTTACAATTCTGCTTGTCTGTCTGCTCCCCTGTCTGTTCTAACCCTGCTGTAGTTGGTCTTCCCTGGCCAACAGACTTTAGTCAGAGTGGACGTCATATTTTATTTGAATCCTTGTAATATGTAGCGTCTAATCTGACTATATTCTTCACAATCACTCTTGCTTGTAATCACCCATTTGCATGCACTAATCCTGCCTCCCATTTTTGTTTTTATTTCATTTTATTTCGATCCTGCTATTTGTCTTCTCACCCATCAGAAACTCTTCATCTTCATCAGCACATCACCTATATATGAATTCAATTTAAAATGAGCTTCTTAGAAGCTTTTGTCTAATGGGACATTTTCATTCCTTAAGGAGGTATAGATAAATGTTGAAATACTTGTGTTGATTCTGTAGGGAATCTGACACTGAAGTATTAAATCCCATGCACCCTGCTCTTTGTTTTGCATGTTGCTGTAGCACAAAGCTTTTTGTTCTTAAGTTTGTCTCTTGTTCTTTTTCTAACCTGCATGTCTTCCCCATCACCATCACCCTCTGTCCTTTGTCATCTTTTTTTGTTTCCCCTGCACGTTTATTGGCTCCAGATGCCGTCAAACAACAGCATCCGTAAGCAGATTGAGACCCTGCAGGTGAGTTACCATGGTTAACCACAAGGGAGCTCAGAGGTCATGTGATTGACCTGTGTTCCACATGGGCTTTTTGAGACTCCTGACTCTTTTGCCTGTCCATAGAGGAAACAATGCTAAATAGCTTTATTACTTTCCTGCTGTCCTCAAGAATTCACACAGGAAAACCACCCAGTTCAAGGAGTCATTGATAAAGATGTAGACTAGTCACCATTTAGGGCGTCAGGAATGTATTATCTGAGGCGGCATTAATTCAGGCCACAACTGGCGTGCTAAAAAAGTATTTTGTATTACTATACATTTCCAAAAATATGTAAGTGAAAATATAGAATTAATTATTATTATTAGTAGTATTTCGTAAAATTTTGTGCTAATTATTAAAGTGATTGACTATCTAGCCTAGTGATTTAATTTTATCCTGCAAGGGGACCAGGTTCAACTCTTGGCCAAAATTTTAATATTGCAAGCAAATTTGCAGCAAAGTTTGACAGCTGTGCACTTCTGGAAAATTATGGAAATTATGGATTTATATTATGACAATCAGTTTGAATGTCCATGATGCTGCAGATCACAGTCTTTCTCTGTAGAAGTTTGCAAGTTTATTGCGTTTATAGTGGTTTGTTTTGAATTTACAACTATTTGAAATGTACCTGCAGACTCATTAGGCCAGAGTGGAAAAACATATTGCTGATAATTCAATAAAGAAATGGCATCCTTGTTGATGGAAGACACTAAGGAGTCCTCACTGTACTAGTGCTCTCATACTTACTGAGAGCACTTCTCATTCTCTTTCTAGCTTGTACTTATTTGAACAATGTCTAAGAACTTGGTATTACAACCACTTCTTGTGTCTGTTTGCCTCTCTTAAGAAGAATCGCTTTATGTATCCCCCAATTGTAAGTCGCTTTGGATAAAAGCGTCTGCTAAATGACTAAATGTAAATGTAAATGTACTGTATGTAGTTGATGTTCACTGCAAACCATGCAATCATATCGCCCCCTATGGTGAGTGTTGATCATTACACCCTGCTTAATGCTCTTTACTGCAGTCTGATTAGCTGTGTGTGGGAGAGAGAGACAGAGTAGCAGAAACAGTGAGGAGACAACTGCTTAGTCAGTGATTCGATTTGGATGAGCCATGATGTGTTAATCACGGATTCATTAGCAGAGTTTTTATGAATCCCTCTTTCATCATCGATTGCTTCTGCTGAGCAGCTGATTTATGAGATATCTCTGTGCATCAATGCAGTTAAAGCAGAAATTACAGCTCTTATTGGCTTGTAAATGGAGTCCAGTGCATCATATTCCTATTGCTATTGAGCTATTGATCATCACCCATCATAATACAGATGAAGCAGCAGCTCTTTATGAATGAATCTGGCATATTTTCTAGGCTGGGTTAATTCATGAATTTTTGTTTTTGGAGGTCATTTCGACTCACTTGGGGGTTTTTAAGACCCTGATTTCTGTAAAGCCACTTTAAAGCAATGTGTTTGTAAAAATCCACAATAAGGATTTTTTTAATTTAAGATTTTTCACTGCCACTTGCCCTTTCACTGGCCCCACTGGTCTCACATAAATAACTATAAATCAGCAGTAAATACATCACCAGAGTTGCTTGATGTTATTAAGTCCATTACACCCTATAAAAATTACAGTTCCAAAATTACAAAAATGTACTTTATGGAAATAAATGCTTTTTTTCTAGGGCTCATGTCATGAGTACTTGTTGTCTGAGCATTTTTTGTTTCTTTCTTTTTAGAACAAAGATCCCAAAATGTCTCGTGTTGCACTGGAGTCTCTTTACCGTCTGCTCTGGGTTTATATCATCAGGATCAAGTGTGAGAGCAACACAACCACACAGAGGTGGGACACACAATCATACAGATTTACAAAAATCTCTTGAGTTTATACCAGTTGCATACACTAGGAATACATTCACTCGATACTAACCCTAACCACAAACATACCGTTATTTGAGAAGGTAAACCTCTCAAAGATACATACAAATATATGCAAATTGTCAGATTCTTGTAGACCATTCTTGTTCATATGTATATAACATCTCACATTATCTCTCTTCCCTCACAGTCGTCTCCTCAGTATTGTAACAGCACTTTTCCCAAAGGGCTCTCGCAGCGTGGTGCCCAGGGACACACCCCTCAACATCTTTGTTAAGATCATTCAGTTTATTGCTCAGGTAAAAACATTACCTTTATTAACATTAAATAAAAACTTCTTTTTTTTTTTCATTTTGTCCCAATCCCAAAGATAGCTATCCACTTTACCATCTACTCTCTTATTATTTTATAATAAAGTTCAAATTAACAACATGAACATTTGGGAGAGTGGTTTTAATTTATCGCATTGGTTTTCTTTGGTTTGTGGCACATTTTTTTCCCCTCTCTAAAGGAACGGCTGGACTTTGCCATGAAAGAGATCATCTATGACCTGCTGTGTGTGGGCAAGTCCCACAAGACTTTCACCATTAATCCAGAGGTGTGTGAAGACATTCACATAATGTACCAGACATTAAAAAATTTGATGGCATCTCTGGATGGATAAAAAGATAAACATAGAAACGAATTATCTCTCCCTTATCTGTCTCTCTGTCAGAGGATGAATATTGGTCTGCGGGCCTTCCTGGTAATAGCCGACAGCTTACAACAGAAGGACGGCGAGCCGCCCATGCCCACTACAGGCGTCATCTTACCCTCAGGCAACACGCTGCGGGTCAAAAAGATCTTCCTCAACACCACCCTCACAGACGAGGAAGCCAAGGTCATCGGTATGGACCCTTACAGTTCCTACACAGCTCTCCAAAAAGAACATATTCCTGAGTTCAGCCTTTCCCGACCCTAAAGCATTTGGTCATATTCGATTATGGTGATTCGGTGATTTTTCACGTAATTGTGATTCCTGGAGCATGTGCTGTCCTCATTGAGCTTTCAACATAAATAAAGTTGTGACTTTCTGCCAAGTCCTTTTTTGTGTTTTTAAGTAAGAAAATTACTTTGGGATTGTAATTGTGGTCCATTCCTTTTTTTTATCTGTGTGGACCTTAGTCAGAATTTCCTCATATACTTAAATTTGACTTCATATTTTTAATAGTTTGTTTTGCTTTTCCAGTGAAACACATTAGATGTCCATTTGTTCAGATAGTGGTGTATTTATCTGGCCTCATTGTTTAGAGATCGAGGAAATGCCTCTGTATGTAGTCTTTTGTAACATCTTTCCTTTCTTGTACTAGATTTTGTGTGTGAGCTAAGCTGTTCTCTTTCTGTGTGTGTTTGTCTGTCTGTGTAGGCATGTCTCTGTATTACCCTCAGGTTAGGAAGGCCCTAGACAACATCCTCAGGCATCTGGATAAAGAGGTGGGACGATCCATGAGCATGACCAACGTTCAGATGTCCAACAAAGAGCCAGAGGACATGATCACGTGAGTTTCTTGAGATTTTATTTTCATAAATATGATATAAGACTTTTGAACTTTTAAAATGGTATGAAAGTGGTGGTGGTGTTGTTGTTGTTGTTTATTTGGCTTTCATCATGTTTAATATATGTTTGTGTTCTGCTGTAGTGGGGAGCGTAAACCGAAGATTGATCTGTTCCGGACATGTGTAGCTGCTATTCCCAGACTAATACCAGATGGCATGAGCAGACAAGATCTCATCGAGCTACTGGCAAAGTAATGACCTGTGACCCTCATGTCAACCCTCATTCATCACCACAAGAAAACTCCAGCCATTCTCCAATTCACTAGTTCTGTTGTTGGAGAACAATTATATTTATTCCTACTGACCATTCACTTCAGTGGATTCAAATGTCATGGTTTGATTCTGATTCAGAAGCTGTCAAATTGATTCAGTATTGATTGTTTTTTAAAAATTTCAGTTTAAATGTCAACAGGCCAGTTATCACATTTTAGTTATTACATAATGTCCTGCTACAGTGCATGATTGCTACAGTGCATTGTGAGTTGTCCGGGTTCACTTTTTCATGTTTGCATATTTCCAAAATGTTTGGTCTTTATAGTTTGTTATATAAAGCTAATTGCCTGTAACACAACAATTTGGAATGAGAATTTTCAACACACAGTAACTCAAAGGTCTTCTCATACAAAGTGTTTACTTTAGGGGTGTGAGTCAAACAGAAAAATCACACTTATTCTGAAAAGTACCCATAGACTAATTTTACTTGTTAATTTCCATGTATTCATGACTTCCTGTACAGCAACCACAATCTGAGTCAGACTTCCTGTGAAGTCGTAATGACATGTTGTCAGAACTCGTATGTCACTGTTACCCGCTTGACCTCTCTGTGGTTCTGGTGACGCATGATGCTGTTATGAAGATGATGATGCATAGCATTTATTTGTTGCATTCTGTAAACAATGACTCTTTCTTTCTCCCACCCGTCCAGACTGACCATCCATATGGATGAGGAGCTGCGTGGTCTGGCGTTCACCACTCTGCAGGCTCTGATGGTGGACTTCCCAGACTGGAGAGAGGATGTGTTGTCTGGTTTTGTGTATTTCATTGTAAGGGAGGTGACTGACGTTCACCCCACACTACTGGACAACGCTGTCAAGATGCTGCTGCAGCTCATCATACAGTGGAGACAGGCGGTACAGAGCAACAACCGCAGCCATGATTCACAGGTGCACACACACAACTTAAAGTTTTTATAGTATATAATACAGTGGTTCTTAATCCTGGTCCTGGGGACCCCCTGCTTTGCATCTTTTGAATGTCTCCCTTATCTGACATACTCAAATCAGGTGTGCTAAATAAGGCAGACATGCAAAATGTGCAGAGGGGGGTCCCCAGGACCAGCATTAAGAACCACTGTTATGATATGATGTAATATAATATAACATATAACACAACAACATAATATATACACTACTGTTTAAAAGTTTGGGGTCAGTAAATTATTTTTTTTAATTAATACTTTCTTTCAGCAAGGATGCATTATATTGATCAAAAGTGCCAGTAAAGACTTTTATATATTATGTTTTAATGCTGTTCTTTTGAACTGATTATCAAAAACACAGGGATGAATGTACTGCATCTCGATTTATTAAAATGTGAATATAAGAAATAAAGTTTCTATGCGGAATTACAAAATTGGGGAATTTTTTTTACAATTATTTATTTTTTGCAGGGTTTCTGCAGGTCCAATATATATATATGTTATTATATTGTGTGTAATTGCATTTTAACCCAGTGGTGTGTCTTACAGAGAGCTGTTGGAGGAATTAAACCCCATCATTAAAGAGGCACTTGAGAGAAGGCCAGAGGTGAGTTGACCACAGTTTGACACTTGACCCTGTCAAGGAATCCATGCCTGTGAGGACTCATGGATAAATGTTCCACTAGATCATTTAAATGCAAGCTTTTTGTCTATCTATTCATAATACAGATGCAGATCTAAACAAATTATTGATCCTTGTGTTTTTTTGTTTCTGCAGAACATGAAGCGACGCCGGCGTCGTGACATTCTCAGAGTCCAGCTGGTCCGGATTTTTGAGCTACTGGCCGATTCTGGAGTCATCAGTCAGATGTAAGTCTCACACACTCACAACATGTACACTACTGTTCAAAAGTTTGGGGGTCAGTAAAAATGTATCACAGTTTACAAAAATAAATAAAGCAAAGTGTTTTCAACATTGATAGTAATAAGAAATTTTGAGCACCAAATCAGCATATTAGAGTGATTTCTGAAGGATCATGTGACACTGAAGACTGGAGTAATGGCTGCTGAAAATTCAGCTTTCCATCACAGGAATAAATTACAATTTAAAATATAAAACATTTATTTTAAACTGTGAAAATATTTAACAAATGACATTTATTTTGGTCAAATTAATGTAGCCTTGGTGAGCATAAGACAAGTATTTCCACACTCTGACTAGTTTATTTGATTTAAATTTTATGTCCAACATGCATCACAGAAGATGTGATGCATGTTTTTTTTCTTCTGAAAGTCATGAACACTTCCATTGCATTTCAGATGTTGTATTATGTTTAACAGTATTCTATTACGAAAATGAGTGAATTTGAAAAAGAAAAAAAAAATTCTCCTGTTGCCAAGGCTAATTTCATAGCTAGCAACTTAGGTATCCTAAACAGTAACATGTTTATGTATTGTCCGTGCAGTGCAAGTGGTGGTTTGGACGGGGAGTCTCACTCTCTGAACAGCACTCTGCTGGAATATGTGGATCTCACCCGACAGCTTCTGGAGGCTGAGAACGACAAAGATTCAGACACACTGAGAGACATCCGCTCACACTTCAGTGCCCTAGTGGCCAACATCATACAGAATGTACCAGGTACACACCCACAGGGCCTTTTCACAGAAACTAATATTGTGTTAAAGTGCCCCTATTATGCCATTTTTAGGGTTCCTAATATTATTTTGGGAGTCTCCTACAATGTTTACATGCATGCAAGGTCAAAAAACACTTTCGTTTATGCATTTAATATGCATTTAATATCACCTCATTTTCCAATGATTCTCAAATGATTCATTCGAAGTACCTCTGAGATTCAGTCTCTCTAAAACCCTCCTTTCTGTGAGCCTACTTCTGCTCTGATTGGTCAGATGGCCCAGTCTGTTGTGATTGGTCTACCGCGTACAGCGCGTGTCAGAAACGATACCATAGTTCCATATTTTGAACGCTCGATAGAAAATATAAACATCTATTATTTCTCATACTTACAGGTTGTGATTCAGTGGAGCCAGCTGGTCCAAATAAACTGGGTACTGAGCCATCTTTCAAGAGCAAGCATTTTGTGAATCTCGCGTTGAACTCCTCGAGATTAGAGAAGCAGTCATCAGTAAAATGGCAGGAACACAAAAAAGATTGGGGTTGTACTGTTGTGGTACAGTGGGAAAAATTAATTTTCACCACTGTTTCTTTGCAGCCTCATTTTCCGGAAGTGAAAATAAAACAAATTCACAGCATAGGACACAGCGTCTTCTCGACATGGCAGGAATTATGCAAATATGTTACCCCGTGACGTGTAGCCATCACGGAAGTGGAATTCGAATTACTGACGACTCGTTTAGGCTGTTCAGAGTCAATTCTTTCTTTTGGGAGACAATAACTTTATTTATCGTGCTTTGCAGATAATTTACATTCACATACAGCTACGTCACATGCTGCATGAAAGGCAATATTCAAAATGGCATAATAGGGGCACTTTAATAGCCATTGGTTCACTAATCCGTAAATTCACTAATCTGTTATTTAACTTCCAACTGATCTCATGATTGTTTTTCTGCAGTACATCAGAGGAGGAGTATATTCCCTCAGCAGTCACTGAGACATAGTTTGTTCATGCTCTTCAGTCATTGGGCTGGACCCTTCAGCATCATGTTCACACCACTGGACCGATACAGTGACCGCAACATGCAGATCAACAGACACCAGTACTGTGCACTGAAGGTACCATCTCACAAAACACACATTTGCATTTGCAGTCGCCACAGATTTCACTATCACTATCATAGAGTGAATGTGGTATATGATGCGTGTCTGCTCAGGCCATGTCTGCGGTGCTGTGTTGTGGTCCGGTAGCTGATAACGTTGGCCTATCCTCTGATGGGTATCTATATAAGTGGCTGGACAATATTCTAGACTCTCAAGACCGCAAGGTAAATACACTTTACTCATTTGCGCACGTTAGCATTACCAGCTAATCAACTGTTATGAACTGTCACATGCATGCATGTTTGTGCTCAGGTGCATCGGTTGGGTTGTGAGGCAGTGATGTTGTTATTGGAGCTGAATCCAGACCAGAGCAATCTGATGTTCTGGGCGGTGGATCGCTGCTACACTGGCTCACGCAGAGTCGCTGCAGGCTGTTTCAGAGCCATCGCCAATGTCTTTCACAACAGGTACGTACTACAACGTTCTTGTGGTAAATGTGATTGAATTTGTGTCAATAATTCAGGTAAAATTAATACTGTGTGTTTGTTGTCTCTTGCAGGGATTACCAGTTTGACACTGTGGTTCTGCTGAATCTCATCCTGTTTAAAGCTGCAGACTCTTCCAGAGACATCTATGAGGTCGCCATGCAGCTACTGCAGGTCAGTAGAGATTCTTAAGCTTTTTCTGTCAAAGGACACCAAGAGTGGACAATTGGGTAAATAAAATCATATTGGGATTATTTTGCCATATGATAACCTCCATAAATATATCATAATGTATGTTTACAGTAAGACAGTATTACTACTAAAGTAGTATATTGACCTCATTTGTATAATTTTATAATTATTATTAAGTCACCTTTATTTTTTTTTATAGCACTTTATGCAATACCGATTGTGCCAAAGCAGCTTTGCCAACACAAATCAATTCTGCTGCAAAGCAGCTCTAAAAAGAGGACAATAGTAAACAGTCAGTTTTCAGTTAAAGTCAGTTCATCGTTGATTCAGTGATGTCATCATCCAGCTCAGTTCAGTTCTCTTCCAATAGTGTCTGTGCAGTCATGTTGATAATATTGCCAAATATTAAGTCTCCCCAACTAAGCAAGCCAAAAAGCGACAATGGCAAGGAAGGAACCCAAACTCCATCGGTGGCAGAATGGAGAAAAAACCTTGGGAGAACCCAAGCAGTTCTCCTCTGGCCAGGCGAACCAACATTATTATTATTATTGTTGTATAGAGTCATATTGAATGGGTTCCATAAAACAACTGTGTGAATGTAGCCTGAGATAAATGAAATGAAGAGTCTTTTTTTTTTACTTAAAAAAATATATATTTTATTTGTGTTAAAAATATAATATTTCATTGTTTATGGGTTTAAATCATGTTACCCTGCGCACAAGCATAACAAACGTGGCGCTCTTAAAAAATTGAAATCGCAATTTTTTTAATGAGAAAATTTGCAGAAAAAATAAGATTTGTTTCCCTAAATCATTCAGCCCTTAGTAGGTTTTCATTTTGCAACCTGTCAAATTAACAGAAAATATTTAATTTGGTTGTCATGAATATATCCCCAAATTCCATCATAACTGATAAGCCCAGTTTCCTCACACCTACTTGTGCTTCAAAAAAATGTAAGAGTTTAAATTGAAATTAAGTGTGATGAGCACAGTAATTTGTACCAAATCGTAATGTTTGTGCATGTGTTTATATATTAGATGCTGGAGCCCAAACTGTTCCGTTACGCCCATAAACTGGAGATCCAGCGTACTGACGGGGTCTTGACTCCAGCCTCTCCCCTCCCTCACCTGTACTCAGTGTCCTACTACCAGCTCAGTGAAGAACTGGCACGGACCTACCCTGAACTCACCCTTCCTATCTTCTCAGGTACATACACAAACCCGCATAAATATAATGCTCAGTAAATCTAACATTTGGTAATAACTTTTCCCTCCTGCATAAACAACTTAAAAAAATATATATTTTATTTTTGTTAAAAATATAATATTTCATTGTTTATGGGTTTAAATCATGTTACCCTGCGCACAAGCATAACAAACGTGGCGCTCTTAAAAAATTGAAATCACAATTTTTTTAATGAGAAAATTTGCAGAAAAAATAAGATTTGTTTCCCTAAATCATTCAGCCCTTAGTAGTTTTTCATTTTGCAACCTGTCAAATTAACAGAAAATACATGAATATATCCCCAAATTCCATCATAACTGATAAGCCCAGTTTCCTCACACCTACTTGTGCTTCAAAAAAATGTAAGAGTTTAAATTGAAATTAAGTGTGATGAGCACAGTAATTTGTACCAAATCATAATGTTTGTGCATGTGTTTATATATTAGATGCTGGAGCCCAAACTGTTCCGTTACGCCCATAAACTGGAGATCCAGCGTACTGACGGGGTCTTGACTCCAGCCTCTCCCCTCCCTCACCTGTACTCAGTGTCCTACTACCAGCTCAGTGAAGAACTGGCACGGACCTACCCTGAACTCACCCTTCCTATCTTCTCAGGTACATACACAAACCCGCATAAATATAATGCTCAGTAAATCTAACATTTGGTAATAACTTTTCCCTCCTGCATAAACACTGTGTTTGTAATGAGATTCCATGTTATTTTACTCAGAGGTGAGTCAGAGAATCCAGACAGCGCACCCTGGTGGCCGGCAGGTGATGCTGCATTACCTCCTACCTTGGATGAACAATGTGGAGCTGGTGGACTTCAAGCCTTCAGCTCAACGTCAAGAGGAACCTTCGTCGACGGAGGAAGAGGAGGATGCCCATGAGAGAGAGATGATGATGGTGAACAGCCGTCGCTGGCTGAGAGGAGAGGGCTGGGGTTCACCACATGCCACTACCATGATCCTCAACAACCTCATGTTCATGACTGCAAAGGTAAAGGCACACATGCTACATGTCAACTATGTGCAGACCATGGTACAGGTCTGAATATCTATAGTGAATATACAGTACGTTTCTATAGCAGACAATTTTTCTTTAATTTTTCCTTTTACATTTAAGTATAGTTTTATTTTATTTTGTATAAATATATTATTTTAACACATTCACTAATATTTATACCCATGTTTTCAAGGTGATCATTGCATGAATGTTCATATGGTCTGATTTTACAGTATGGTGATGAATTTGCATGGTCAGAGATTGAGAACGTCTGGACCACTTTAGCTGACAGCTGGCCAAAAAATCTAAAGATCATCCTTCACTTCCTTATCAGCATGTCTGGAGTCAACAGTGAACCAAGTCTCCTGCCTTATGTGAGTGATGCCTGTCTTGGCCAGATACTCAATCCTTAAGCAGATGGACTGAACTTGAGACTTCGACCATGTTACTTAGGGTGTGTTCACACTTGGCATGTTTGGTTTGATTAAAATGAACTCTCGTGCGATTGCTCTGTTAGTTCGGTTCGTTTGAGTAAGTGTGAACGCTGTCATCTGAACCCTGGTGCGCACCTAACAAGTGGACCGAGACCGCTAAAAAGATGGGCCTCGGTCCGCTTCCAAACGAACTCTGGTGCGATTCGAATGAAATGTGAACGCAACACGGACCAAATATTTCTAAACGAACCAAAAACAGGAAGTAATGACAAGATGCGACGCTATGCGACATGATTTGACGACGTGGAACGAGTGGTGTATCCAAAACAAAATAAACAGAGGGCAAACGTGGAGCAATGAGGCAGTAAAGTGCCTTTTATGAGCTCTTCGTGAGTTCGCAGGTGGTGAAAATAAAATCAAAAGTACTGAGTAGCAATGAGCGCACTTAGTCCAGTAGATGGCATTAGGTGTTCGACTTAAAGCGGCGCTAAGCAGACCGATCGGTGAATGGGTACTGTGATGTCATACACCGATCGGTCTGCACAGCGCCGCTTTAAGTCGAACACAGCTTTTGTTTGGGGTGTTAGGTGAGTTCTGTCACGAAATATACGTCGTTCAACCCGATCAATCAGGTTGTGAACATATCATTATGCCTTTAGGTTCGCAGTCAAAAATGCCAGTGTGAACGCTCAGCGGACCAGGACCAAATGTATCGTTTAGTTTTTTGGTCCAGACCAAACGAACCGAACTACAAGTGTGAACGCACCCTTATTAACTTAATTTGTTCCATGCATTTGTGTTTCGTTTGAGTAAGTGTGAACGCTGCCATCTGAACCCTGGTGCGCACCTAACAAGTGGACCGAGACCGCTAAAAAGATGGGCCTTGGTCCGCTTCCAAACGAACTCTGGTGCGATTCGAATGAAATGTGAACGCAACACGGACCAAATATTTCTAAACGAACCAAAAACAGGAAGTAATGACAAGATGCGACGCTATGCGACATGATTTGACGACGTGGAACGAGTGGTGTATCCAAAACAAAATAAACAGAGGGCAAACGTGGAGCAATGAGGCAGTAAAGTGCCTTTTATGAGCTCTTCGTGAGTTCGCAGGTGGTGAAAATAAAATCAAAAGTACTGAGTAGCAATGAGCGCACTTAGTCCAGTAGATGGCATTAGGTGTTCGACTTAAAGTCGTTTGAGTAAGTGTGAACGCTGTCATCTGAACCCTGGTGCGCACCTCATCTGAACCCTGGTGCGCACCTAACAAGTGGACCGAGACCGCTAAAAAGATGGGCCTCGGTCCGCTTCCAAACGAACTCTGGTGCGATTCGAATGAAATGTGAACGCAACACGGACCAAATATTTCTAAACGAACCAAAAACAGGAAGTAATGACAAGATGCGACGCTATGCGACATGATTTGACGACGTGGAACGAGTGGTGTATCCAAAACAAAATAAGCAGAGGGCAAACGTGGAGCAATGAGGCAGTGAAGTGCCTTTTATGAGCTCTTCGTGAGTTCGCAGGTGGTGAAAATAAAATCAAAAGTACTGAGTAGCAATGAGCGCACTTAGTCCAGTAGATGGCATTAGGTGTTCGACTTAAAGCGGCGTTAAGCAGACCGATCGGTGAATGGGTACTGTGATGTCATACACCGATCTGTCTGCACAGCGCCGCTTTAAGTCGAACACAGCTTTTGTTTGGGGTGCAGAGGGCAAACGTGGAGCAATGAGGCAGTGAAGTGCCTTTTATGAGCTCTTCGTGAGTTCGCAGGTAATGAAAATAAAATCAAAAGTACTGAGTAGCAATGAGCGCACTTAGTCCAGTAGATGGCATTAGGTGTTCGACTTAAAGCGGCGCTAAGCAGACCGATCGGTGAATGGGTACTGTGATGTCATACACCGATCGGTCTGCACAGCGCCGCTTTAAGTCGAACACAGCTTTTGTTTGGGGTGTTAGGTGAGTTCTGTCACGAAATATACGTCGTTCAACCCGATCAATCAGGTTGTGAACATATCATTATGCCTTTAGGTTCGCAGTCAAAAATGCCAGTGTGAACGCTCAGCGGACCAGGACCAAATGTATCGTTTAGTTTTTTGGTCCAGACCAAACGAACCGAACTACAAGTGTGAACGCACCCTTATTAACTTAATTTGTTCCATGCATTTGTGTTTCTGAATGTGTTTCCTAATATTTTGCAGGTCAAGCGTGTGGTGGTATATCTGGGCAGGGATAAGACGATGCAGTTGCTGGAGGAGTTAATGTATGAGCTGGAGCAAACAGACCCTGTATCCTCGGCTGTCACTCATATGGATAACCCACCTTACTACCGCATTACTACTTCTTACAAGATCCCTTCTGTTACATCAGGTATATATGCTTTAAACCACTCTGACCACTTGCATTTCTCAATATGACCTTTATACAAATAAGGTGAACAATCATAAGACCAGTAGAAACAATTCAGGAATCCCCAATGATTGCAGAAAAGTTTCTGATAGATGTGATCTAAGGAAGCAATTACATTTTCACTGTCATTTCGTTGAATTGATTGGCATTTTCAGGAACAACGTCCAGTAGTAACACCATGGTACCTGGACATGATGGACACCATGAGAGCAAAATCAAAGATTCCAACATGGAGGACAGGTAAACTGATTCTAGATTTAGGAAATGGGTTCCATTTAAAACAAACAAAAAAAGTTATCACTGAAAATATTTATTACTGAAAATAAACCAAGAACCATTTATCAGCCATTGCTGACTGGTTGTTCATAATTTGTTGCTTCCTCAAAAGTACTAGACGAAGTTGTAAAGTGGAACCTGAATGTAATTTTCTGCATCTCTGCGCAGTTACACACATTTGGACATCTACACTGGTCTGAACAGTAATCTGAACAGACAGCACCATCGACTGGAGTCCCGTTACAGCAGCAGCTCAGGAGGATCCTACGAGGAGGAGAAGAGTGAGTACATTAACATCACTGTCATACTTATGATCAGTGCTCCCTTTAACTTCTGAAGGTGCTCCTGCTCTGACCAAAAACACTTGGTCTGAAGGCAGACTCAAAAATGTGTGGATATAAAAGTAGAATCAGTGCAAAATTCAATGGCCAGAATTTGCCATCAAAGGAATAAATTACATTTTAAAATAGCAAATGGTTTTAAATTTTTAATCTTACAAAATTTCACAATATTTTGATCAAATAAACATGAAAAAAATATTACAAGTCTCAAACTTTTGAATGGTATTGTATGAACATGCCGTTTCTCTCTGTAGGTGACTCTATGCCTGTCTATGCTAACTGGCGTCTAAAGGTGATGGACCATAACCGGCCAGAGCCCCTCCCATTTCCTCCAACTGGTGGTTGCTGGTCACCACTGGTCGATTACCTGCCTGAGACCACCACGCCTGGAGTCTCCCTACACAGGTGAAGGACATACTCAGTGTGTCCTAAATTAGAGTCAGTGTTGTTCTCCTTGACCTTTGACTGCTGACAACACATTGCCATTTCTTTGCAGATGTAACATAGCTGTGATCTTGCTGACCGACCTCATTGTAGACCACGGGGTCAAAGTGGAATGGAGCTCATACCTTCACCTGCTACTTCATGCCATCTTTATAGGTAACACATACACAACTGTAGTTTATTAAAACCATTATCACTGGAATGTTCCACATTGTAAGTCCTGCAATGCATATTTGTGCTTGTAGGTTTTGACCATCAGCACCCTGAAGTCTATGAGCACTGCAAGCGTTTACTGCTCCACCTGCTGGTCGTCCAGGGCACCAACAGCAGCGTCCAGTCACTAGCATCAGTACTTCTCCGCAACCGTGAACTGAACGAGCCCAGAGTTCTGACAGTCAAGCCCACTCTTCAGGAGTTCAACCTCACAGGTACCTAAAAGCAAAGATGTTTTGCATTATCTCTCTGCCACAGTGCTCTTATCCAACTGATCGCTAATAATAATGATTAATTATTATAATAAAAATAATAAGTAATATATTAGAATATTAAATAATTGTGCATTGGTTTATCTCCCAGGTGTTATAGAGCTGATGCCAGACTATCAGTCGTCTCCAATGACAGACTCTGGCCTGAGCTCTAGCTCCACATCCTCTAGCATCAGTCTGGGCAGCTCAGCACTGCCTCACCTCCCCCCTACTCTCCTTAATGAAGTGGACCTGTCTGCAGAGCAGGATGAGAAGGTCAAAAACCTCATTGAGTTCATCAGCTCAAGGTGAGGGGTCTCAGGCCAGTCTGTCAAATTCTCCCTTAATATTGCACTTTCATTATCAAAGTGCTGAATATTCCAAACACCTCAAGCATTAAAGAATTCAAGAATAGAATTGGGTTACATAGCCTGATGGAAGCTCAAAGTTCTCCATGACAGTCCGGTAAAAATAAATGTTTGCTTTAAGAAATGTATTACTATTATTTGTTGTAATAATAATAATAATAATGAATAAAAAAATGATAAACACAAGTATTAAAACATTAAATTTAATTTCTTGTTTTAAGAAAAACCATACAAACAAGATTTTTTCCCCCACTTTTTATTAGCATTTATAGAGTATACAAGTGATCCTTATTTGACAAAAAATCCAATGTTTTGTTGTAATATAATATTGACATTTTAACAGATGATTAAATTGTTAAAGTTTTATGAATTAATTTTATTAGACACCATTTTTGAGGATAAATTGTATTAAACCATAAAACACAGAATCCAGAAGAAAAAAACAGGAAAAGTATTTAAACACACAAGTTATGTATATATTATAATATTTCTGGCCGTGTTACCCAATTACTTTTTGGAGCAATTGACCACAAGTTGCTTTGGATAGAAGAAGAAGATAGAAGATAACACATTTATGAATAAAACATTTAGTTCTTAGTAGTAGCAATATCATGTCCAACTGGAGTCTATGATAGGACATGATTGTTTATCATATGACTTTCTCATAGTTGTCTCTGCATATTAAGATGGGAAGGTAAAAGTGTTTTAACATCAAAATACTGACTTTAGATTTAAATAACAATTGGTTTCTGCAGTTTTGTTACCAAACAATAATGTTATTCCTGCCAAGTTTCCCTGGATACATATTGAATGTACATTTATTTTTTTGTTAAGTTACTGTATTTTTTCCTCTGCCTGCAGCCATGTCTAACAGGAGAGGGTATTGTTGCTTTGCATGTGTGTGTGTCTCATCTGTGTGAATGTTTGATTCAGAGTGTTTTCATACAAAAATGGTTGTTCACTGAGAGTTGTGTGAACCTGTTTTGCCTTTGCTCTATGTTAGACATTTCCAGTTGTGTTATTGCTCTAATTCTTCTGATTGGTTGGCCCATAGGAAGCGTGGTCCACTGTGGAACCATGAAGACGTCTCTCCCAAAAACCCCAACATCAAGAGTGCCGATCAGCTTAGTGTATTCCTCCGTCATGTTGTCAACGTCTTCAAACAGACACCGTCCGGTAAGACACAACATGTGCCAATTTCACTGCACTGTAGAGTGCCAACTTCCATATGAAGAGAACTGAAATGTTTCGGCTGTGGTTGTAATGGGTTCTTGTTCTGCATGTTTGATTAGGTTACCAGTTGGAGCAGGAGTTGAGTGAAGTTGCTCTGCAGACAGCTCTGTCTTGCTCATCACGGCATTATGCTGGTCGCTCTTTCCAGATCTTCAGAGCGCTGAAGCAGCCACTCACAGCCTCCACACTGTCAGACGTGCTTTCCCGTCTGGTAGAGACTGTGGGAGATCCAGGGGAAGAGGCTCAGGTATGTAGAAATGTTACATTCTTCCAGAAGTACTGATAAGAAAGCAACAGCAGGGCTCTGCAATGAGGATCTTTTTCTTCTGACCTGATCGGACCAGTACTTCAAATGTTTTACTTGCCCTGCCAACATACTTGGCCCTAAGTAGTGATTTTAGGCAATGTCTCTGTGGGGAAAAAAAACAACAACAGAAAATTATATATATATATATATATATATATATATATATATA